TAGTCGAACATGTCATATCGTTTGCTCTTAATTTATGTTGTTGATCGTCATCGCAAAGTATATTAAAATTGGGAATGATTTACTATCATATTTTGTATGCAATGTTGTATGGCATGTGGTAGTTGCCTTTTTGAAATTATATTGCGTATACATCGCATATACAAAGGTTACATATAAGTCAGTACAACAATTACTATTGTGTTGCATCCTGCTGCTACTCGATATTTTTTAGTCCAACATAACTATACTCTTCAGTCTTCACTCTAGAAATCAGCCACCACATATAGTTGTCCATGTGTGAGTATTCTTTTTGTTTTCAAAATATAGTCGAACATGTCATATCGTTTGCTCTTAATTTATGTTGATCGTCATCGCAAAGTATATTAAAATTGGGAATGACTTACTATCATATTTTGTATGCAATGTTGTTTGGCATGTGGTAGTTGCCTTTTTTAAATTATATTGCGTATACATCGCATATACAAAGGTTACATATAAGTTAGGGGAAAATAATTAAAATACCCCAAACTTTGAAGAGGTGTGAGTTAAGCACCCCAAACATTCATATGTAATTTAAATATCCCAAACTTTGTATAAATAGTTATTTTAATTTAGCACCTTAGTCATGTATTATTTTTTTTCTTAAATGTCAACTTTTGGTGTTAATTTCATAATTTAAAATATTTTAGCATTCATAAAGATCAATTAACATTCTAAACTTCCATTGTAAAATAAATAGTATTAACCCCCACTCTTTATAATTGCAAAGTTTTCAATTTGATATTTTAAATTATGCAACTAACATCATAAATTTACATTTTTGAAAGAAATGGTACATGAGCATGGTGTTAAAATAACATTTTATATAAAGTTTAGGGTACTTAAATTACATATGCAAGTTTAGGATACTTATTTCACACCCCGTCATAATTTGGAGTATTTTAATTATTTTTCCCTATAAGTAAAATAATTGTCAGAAGTATGAGTATTGAGTAACGCATGAACCATTTTTACAAAAAGAAGTAAAGCATGAAATATTTAAAGATGTTGTGAAATGAAGAAGATGAAGAACAACTTTAAGAGATAAATATATTATTAATAAGCTCTAAATTACTTCTTCTTAATATCTGAATTTCTGAATGTATTTACAAGACCTCACCAAGCCACTATTTATACTGGTAGAGCTTGATGATGAGTCACTTAATTGATGAGTCTATAGATTTGGTGGCAATAGCTAATTGAACAACTCATTCTAACTAGGTTACAATGATCATTACAAGAATCGAGAAAAGTTTGATGTCCTAGTGACAAGGATGAACAATTTACACTTGTCAATTTGATGATTTTACAACAAAAGAAATATTTTTGTATTTTGATGTTTTCTAATTTGGAAATTCAACGCGGTTTTGCTTACCACATTGCTATTTCCTCATTTTCTTTCTTCCTCCCTCCCTCCCTCCCTCCCTCTATCTTCTTTCTTTTTTGCTCGCCTGCTCATTGTTCTTCGCGGAAGTTTGTCTACGGTCAGTGACGGAGCCAGGATTGACAAGTTACAGGGGCCAGGTCTTAAAGAATTTTTATAGCAGGGATCAAAACTTAAATTTTCATTATATTTTGTACTACTTATAAATATATATATATATATATATATATATATATACATCACAATTTTTTTCTTGCAGGGCCGAGGCCACCGCCAGCCTCCCCTGTTTCCGCCCCTGTCTACGGTCTTCACCAATCACCGTTGCAGCCCAAATCATTATTCATCACCAATTGCAAGTGCTGACCATGTGGAGGCTGCTTTTTGATAGGTGGTTGGCCTCGATTAATACAAAAAATCACCCATAAAGTTGGGACGGGTAGTGAACACGATAGATGAACTTGACGAACAACAAGTCAGTAAGTCACTGATTGGTAGAGAACCATAGAAAATGGATAAAAATGTTTAGTGTCGATGAAGAGGCTGAGTTTGAGGATGACGAGGGAGATTTCCAGGAGTAATGATCCCCACCCATTGATGTTGAGGAATATGATGATGCGTTTTTATGTTTGTTGAATTGTCCTTTTTGTCCCTATGGTTGTGTCCTTTTTTTCCCTATGGTTGTGATCTTAGGATGTTTTTATTTCGACTATTTTCTATAACAAATAAGATTTGATCAGATCAAACTTAGACAGTTATAAAATACACAAAGATCGGACATTTATGAGGTTAGACCAGACGAGATCTGATAAGAAAATTATAATCCAAGTAAAAACATCCTTAACTACCAATTATCTTTTCGGTGATGAATATTTGGTGAAATTGAAAACATTTACCTTGTGTGTTAATGGGATCTCTTTTTCTTGATGTTTACGTCCATTAAAGCATTTGTGTAATTAAGATCATTTTGTGTTTTAAAAAAAGTGTAGTATAAACCTATGTTTAAAAAACCAACCCAACCTGACCGGGTCGACCCGGAATCCGGTGACCCGGACCAAAACCTGGTCCGGTTCACTAAAAACCCGGAAATGGTCAAAAATTGGAAAAACCCGACGACCTGGCAAAACCCGGACCAAACCCGGACCCAAAAAACCTGATAAACCAGGAAAACCCGGTTTTGTTTGTTTTTCAATTTAAGAAAAATTAAAAGCATGCTTAACCAATACAATTGCAATTTTCAATATCCTAAAAAGAAAAAAATATGCAATATATTTTTATACTACTTATTTTTTTAAGAATAAAAATCATGTCAAATTATATAATTAATGTCCAATAAAAAAAACATGGAGTATCATTATATATTTTAATAAGATGAAAATGGTATTTTGGAATATTATGAGACTATTTTAACCTTTTAAGTGTTTAGTAATTATTATTAGTTAATTATTACAAAATAACTACCTTTTATTTTAAATTTGTATACAATTATATGTTTATGGGAAATTTGTTGATTTAGTCCCATAACTAATATGGGCCCATGGTGCATATTAGTTACATCCCGTAACTAATAAGTTGGTGCAATTTTGGTCCTTCTCTGCCGGAACTTATCAATTTCGTCGGAAAAAGACACATCACCTGCCACATGGTATATTATTTGGAACTCATTTGCTGACTCAATATTGGCCCTTAGCTGGAGTTAAAAAACCAGAGTACGAAAGCTCTTCGCTAAGTGCGTGCACAACCATACCAAGCCTATTATCGGATCTGCAAAAGGGGGGAAGAACATATAACTCTACCTGAAGATTTCTCCTGAACTAAGTCGAGTGAGTGAGTTATTTTTCAAATCTGCTAGTAACGGCTCTCGATCAGAGAAAAGTTTATGGAGTGTGATTGTGGTAAAAAGGTTTCTCTTCTAACTTCTTGGACTGATAACGATGCTGGAAGGAGGTTTCGTGTGTGCGCTAGAAGCAGAGTAAAAAGTTCAGCTTTTTAATTTACATTGTTTGCTTCTTTTTTTACTAAATAAACTAGAAATTTAAGAATAGCATTTGAATAATAAATTTGTTTGAAAATTAAAATGTATTTTATAATTTAAGCTAGATTCTGATAATAAAATTACCATCTTCTATTTGTTGGGGGCATTTGATAATGTATTTTTGTGTTCAAAGCAGTAAAAAAGTAAGTTAAGCTTCATCTTGTTTTGATACAGACAGAAGGTTGCAGATTTTTTGAATGGGCGGACCCACCTATGTGCCATCGTTGAACGATGATAATTCCGGGATTGGTTAGAAGACTCAATTCAAAAGAGGAAGAGGTTGTAAAATTGAAGGCTAAAAATAAAAGGCTCCTCATAGTTGTTGTGGGGCTAGTGTTTTTGCTCTTGGTCTTTCTCATGTTAAAGATGTGAGAAGTGAAGATGATGTAACATTTCAAATGCTTTATTCTTAAAACATGAATCCAAAAAGCTTTAAACTTCATTTAAAATGCTCCTGCTGCAACCAAGAAGAAATAATTTTTTAACTCTAGCTAAGGGCCAACATTGAGTCAGCAAATGAGTTCCAAATAATATACCATGTGGCAGGTGATGTGTCTTTTCCGGCGAAATTGGTAAGTTCCGGCAGAGAAGGACCAAAATTGCACCAACTTATTAGTTACGGGATGTAATCTGCAAGTTAATAATGTTACAGGACCAATATCGGATATAACTATAAGTTATGGGACTAAATCAACAAATTTCTCTATGTTTATTATTGTTAAATGGTTGAACGATTTTATAGCGTTAACTGGATTGACCCGTGACCCAATCACGCGGTCTAGTCGCTTCCTTGTCCAATTTCCCACAATTTCCTTTTTGTGTACCATTTTGGCACGCAAAAAATTGCCTTTTTTATACCGCCTCTTCCACAATTTACCTGACTTCACCTATGTTTAAAAAACTGACCCGACCCGGACGGGTTGACCCGGAACCCGGTGACCCGGACAAAAAACCGGTTCGGGTTTTTCAAAAACCGGAAATGGTAAAAAACCGGAAAAACTCGGCTGACCCGGGAAAACCCGGTCAAGACCCGGACCCAAGAAACCCGAAAAACCCGGTAAAACCCAGTTTTTGGGTGTTTTTTACCAAAAAAGTAATTTCTTTTTATTTTTAATGCATTTTTTATACCAATAAAATTGCAATTTCAATATATACCTTAAAAAGAAAAACTACGTAATATATTTATATATTTATTTAAGAATGAACATCATGCCAAATTATAATATAGATGTACAATAAAAATAAAAATACCATTATATATTTTTATAAGATCAAAATATACATTGAAATATTATAAGAGTGTATTAAATGCTTAATAAGTAGTATTGTTAGTTCGTTGATTATTATGAATAATAACTAATTTTTATTATAATTTTATATATAATTATATGTTTACCATTATTATAAGACGTATAATCATTGACCGGTTTTCCGGCATTGACCGGGTTGACCCACCGGGTCCAGGTTGACCCGTGACCCAGTCATGTGGCCGGGTAACTCTCAGGTCCTGTTTTTACAACATAGGACTTCACCCGTAGAAATATCAAACGCCGCATGATCAAATATTGGGGTACCCAACCAAGCAGGACTCTTCTTGAATTCATTTGTCGTCCAAAGTCCAAACTTTCAATTTTTAGCTCTTCTTCCACATCCGCCATATTTGTTTTTCCATTCTCCGCGCATCCATCTCCTGTCTTCGCTCCTTCAACCGACCTTATCAAATATTCTTAAAACCGAAATCAGGCTTGGATTCAATCACCAGGTATGGAACCCGATCTTGATGTATTTATTTATAAAGAATATTTAGATCCATAGTTTTAAATTTCAATTCTGGAATACTACTCCGGAGATCCTATATTATCCATATGTTTTCGAAGACGTGTAAAACACGGCTCTACAGATCTTATTTCATGTTTCAGATAGGTATTTACTTTGTTAGTGCTATTTTTTTTGCGATTTAATGTATTTTTATTTTATAACAACCGAATCAGATGTATATATAATCTGTATCATTTGTCAATTTAGAAAATATGAGTTATTTATTACATTATAGTTTGTATTTCAATAGGATTCAAAACTATCTACGTTTATTTACCTAAAAAGATTTGCTTTTTCCCCAGCCTATTGTTATAATTATGAACGTTTACAGTCATTTTTTTTTGCATAGATGATGGATTTTTTGTGGGGAAAAAGGGACCATCAGTCTAAGATAGCAGTGTTGTATTAACTAATTATCTGTCTGGTAAAAAAAACTAATTATCTGCACAACTCTCTTATGTACATTATATTGGAATAAATGATACGCAAAAAATTGTAGCAAAATTATAAACATTTGACAAATACTACACCAATCTGCATAAGTTCTTTCATGAAGAGCCTACCCTAATTTATGTTACTGTTTGTACAGTCAGTTTTGGTTGAAAAATTGATTAAGGGAACAGTTTTAAATACATACTCCCTACGTGCCTGAATAAAGTTCGTACTTTGACTTCCACAGATTTTTTTATCAAATAAAGAAAGAGTACTTTATCTTGGGACACCCCGAAAAAGAATACAAAAACATTAAATATGGATGGAGGAAGCACAAGTATATAGTTTGATTTTCTTTAAGTTAATTTGAATTATTGTAAATCTGTCATCAGCACGTGAAGTGCTTGATTGATACTCATATTACTTATTTTAATATTTCATAAAATACAATAATTGAATTTTACTTTCTTGAATGGTAGCTGTCCATTTTTGGATATGTTTTGGTTGTATTTTGTTCTTTCAAATGTCAAATATTTTTGAAAAGCTACTATGCAGGGTGAAGATTGCGTTATGTTCGTTAATTAAGTTATTTTTGTTTTTGCAATTGAATAGGCATAATGGATTTTTCTGGGATGTACTCAACAAAAGGTGATCCGTTGCGCATTCAATGTAGATCGTCACATGGAAGAAATCACCATAATGACTACAACACCTCACTTGCTGCTGATTCCTTCAACACCACAAAGTACTTCAGTGTCATCTTCCCACATCAAGGAGATCTTGCTCTTCAAAGCAACTTGAATGAAAAAATTAGAGATTATAGCTACAATTACAATGATAGCTCTGTGAAACCTGTGTTTGAGCCTTCTTCTAAGCGAATTAAGTGTTCATCTCCTTCACGAGGGAGGTACCATCAGCAACAACACCATGCACATAATACTTTTCAATCGAGACAACCATTCCTAAATAGCATTGTGCATCAAAGGAATCAGGGTGTTTATGACACTGCCACCACAATATGCAATGAGAGTTCTACGATTTCATTTTCCAATGCTAGTTATAATGACAAGCCTTCTTCTAACGGGTATGAATCTAATACCCACAAGCGTAGCCGATCAGAATTTGAAGACAGTGACATTGAGGTGGTGTTTATGTCCAGAGAGGAAATTGATAGGTGCTCTCCGTCCAGGAAAGATGGTATTGATGCTTTGCATGAAATGCAATTACGATATTCATACTGTGCTTTCCTGCAGACGCTTGGAACCCGACTAGAACTGTGAGCTTTCTAGACTAATCATTTTAAAAAAGAATATACCATTTTTGATTCTTCCATTATTTGCTCCATTCTTCCAATATTCAGTAATTAATACTGTTGGCCTGTTTTTCTCTTTTGGTGCATGATCTGATTGTTTTTGCCATTTTGGTGAAAATGGCCCATTCTGTTCATATTTGGTCCACAATTAAGGATTCATGCCACTTTTGGTCCATCCTGTTCACATTTCTGGTGAAAATCTACCCGGAATTGTATGGAAATTGGTTATATAAATGGACGGTTTGACCAAAATGGCAAAAACAATCCAATCCTGCACCAAAAGAGAAAAACAGGCCAACGGTGTGAATCACTGAATATTTTTGGAACCAAAAGTGGATTTTTTTTTCATTTTAAATTTGACATTTAGATGTCAACTCACTTTTGTATTATCATATTATGTTCGGCTTCAACTATTGTGTGACTAATCTTGGTTTGAATTGCTTGTAGGCCACACACCACTATTGGGACTGCCATGGTTCTGTGTCACCGATTCTTTGTTCATAGGTCTCATGCTAGTCATGATAGATTTGTATGTATCCTTTTTCTAGTCACTAAAAATTTTCTGTTTCAAATAATCATTCAATTTGCACATTGTAACAATGCATGTTTTTTTATAATAACAGTTGGTGTCCACTGCTGCTCTCTTCTTGGCTGCCAAATCAGAAGAAACGCCATGCTCTCTCAACACCGTGCTGAGATCAGCAGCTGAAATCTTTCATAAGCAGGACTTTTCTTATTTATCATATATACTTCCCATTGTTAGTATCTTAACTTCCTATTTCTTTCTCTCATTTTCTCCATATGTGGATCTGCGTCCATTACTTCTAGTTAGCTGTATGTCTAACAAGTTTTATATGTTGACTGAACTTATACAGGACTGGTTTGAGCAATACCGCGAACGGGTTATAGAGGCTGAGCAATTGATCTTGACAACTTTAAATTTTGAGCTCAACGTACAGCACCCATACAGTTCTCTTACGTGCACTCTTGAGAAATTAGGGTTTTCCCGATCAGTTTTGGTGAATTTGGCAATGAACTTGGTCAGCGAAGGGTAAGATGCATCCTTCTTCTCATTATTTATTTAGATTGTGGGCTTGGGGCTATTAATCAGTTTTTGTTGGAGGTTCCTATGAATGTTGGGAGCCTGGGACATTCAAAACAGGATGGGATCAATGGCCCAAAGATCCATTTATTTGTTGTTCTACTTGTGAAATTCGCTCAATCAATGTGTTTGTAAGGATTGCATTTTCTGCTTCTTGGTTGACTATGCGAGCAGGGATTAGAGAAGCGATCAAATTGGTCCTTTTTTTTACTAGGCTTACAACTGTTTGTATCTTTTCATCAAGTTCTATTTTCTTGTCTTAATATTTGTAGTCATTGTGGATCTAATTTTGATACATTTGGATTGACATATAATTGCAGGGTCTTTAGAAGGATTAGCATGCTCGCTTGTATGATATTCTTAGCTGGCGGTTGATATGCTGTTCATCAATTGTTTTGTTTTTCATCTGAAGTTAAAATTTTGGATGCTTTTCACGTAACACGTAAATAGCAATTCATTGGCCATAGAAGATAAGTCAGTGATGCTCCTGGAGCAGATTTGCCATGACAGTGTGTTTTTGGTCACGTGGAAGAAACTTACTGACTTACTGAGTGCTCTTGCACTTCTTTCCACCTGACCTATTTTTTGGTCTTCACATAGGGCACCGACAGATAGGGAAGTGAACCTGAAAAGGTGTTTGCTGAGTAAATTTTTGGGGCACTTAGCAGAAGCATATAAATGCCCAATAAAGCAAAGAGTGTATCTCCATGATATTTATAAATTATACTTTCAGTACTAAATATTTTCCTCAAGGTCATACGTAATCCATAGTACACCTGCAATTTACAAACTATGTGAAACACTATTTTTATCTTTTTCACGTAGAGGCTGGTTCTCTGGTTTGACTTTTGAACCCATGACTTTAACTGGAATGCTTATACACTTGGCCGCTGAATTAGGCCCAAGGTTTTGTACCACTATAAAAAACAAGAGTAAGCTATTAAGTCCATTATTATACGTAGAATTTTTTTAATTTTCATATGTTTATTCATCCCTTTTTGGATTTTTTCCCCACAATTTTCATTTCCCTAGAGTTTTATTACAAAAAAGAGTTCGTGTAAAATCAATTTGTTGTACTTATCCTGTTAGTGGTTACCAGGTTGATAACAGTTAAGTTAAGCAATTGCTGTACAAGACAACCCTAAATGTGATATATACGGTATTTTGGTAGATAACATTGGGGTTCATACGTGGTTGTAATGGGTGCATACAGACCTGACACCGTGAGGTGTCATGAACATTTCAGAAGTTGTTTCATACTTATGCCTTTCAATAATCCTCTCTCTATCACTGATCGTAGTCTTGTAGAATGTACTTCGGTAGCCAGATCACACCTTGTATTTCATCATTAGTTGGACATTATCAGTTCCTGCTTATGCAATAGTGTGCTGTATTGCCCACCAAAATAGCAAAAAGAAATTCATTCTCATTGTTCTATTATTGCCTGTCCCAAATGGCCAAAAAGAGTCATGTTTCATCTATGTACAACTTTTTAATATGGTAAAGTACAACTCTTAGATACCACTTGTCCTAGTTATATTGTTATATTTTTTAATTTTTTATCGGGTATAATTGAATTTGTATATCTTACATGTTTTTTAATTTAAGTGCGGTGGATTGGTCATTTGGATGAGTGATGCACTTGTTAGACGAGTTGAGAGGTGAGGAGAAGAGGGAGAGGAAGACCCAAACAGACGTGGATTAGAGGAATCAGAGTTGACATACTTTTTCTTGGCTTTGGAGAGAGCAAAGTAGTGAGCGCATATTCGTGTGGAGGATTGATCTCTTTTCTCTCTTCCCCCCCTTCTATTATCTTTTTATCTTCTTTATCTTTCTTATGTTCCTATATTATTTTTATCTTTTATTTTTCTTATTCATCTTTATCTTATCCTTTTCCATCATTTGTAATGGAGCCAAAGATTCATTATTTTTTGGCTTGAGAATATGACGGAATAAAACAAAATGGCTCACCAAACTGTCTGCGCTTCTTTGTTATGAAGCAGCAGTCAGTCCATGCAACTTTGGACACGTTTTTCATTATGGGTCATCCGGAAACAGTCTCTCTGTACTTTAGTACAGGGGTAAGACTGCGTACCTCCGACCCCCCTTACCCCACTGTAGGTGGGAGCCTTTGCGGCACTGGGGTAAATGATGATTGATTGATTGATCTTTATCTTATCCTTTTTAAGCTTGATTGTTGTTGTATCTTTCATACGTTCTTATGTTATTTTTATTTTCTTTCTTTCTTATGTTCTTTTATCTTATATTTATCTTTATCTTTAACTTATTCTTTTTATCTCACCTTATTGTTTCTCTTTTCTTATCTTTCTTTTCTTTTTGGCTCCGATATCATGGATCTTTTGGTAATAAGGCTTGAATGTTGTTGTCGTTGTACTAATGAAATAGCTTCTGTTGTTTAAAATGGGGACAAAGTAGACTTTTTATGGAATGGAGGGAGTGTTTTACAACATTGTCAAATCATTCTCTTTGCATTTTCTGGAAATCTATTCCACTTTTCCCTGCTCCTTAATCATTTTTGCCTTTGTTTAAGTAGAAGTCATTCCTAAGTTTGTTTGAATTATGTTTTGTCTGCCTACTGAGTATGCTATATTGGCAGTTTTTGGGGGTGCAAGGGATGAGGGGAATGACATTTTTTATTGTTTGGGGAGGCGTTGGTGCACACTGTACAGTCTCATAAGTTATGTAATTTTATGGAGCATGTATGTGTATTCCATTAGTATCATGCATTAGGTGGCTGAATCTGAAACCGCTACCTCATTAATGGCCGGTCCATTTTTGTGAGAGGGTACAATCCTACTCAGCCACCTCAGCAGCGTGTTTCTCACATGCTTTTTAATTCTTTTTGGTTGTAACTAGCAAGTCATTGTTAAATGCAAAAGCTATTTTATGTGGTGTTTGCATAGGGAATGTGCCTCAGACTCTCTGTGCTTCCATTCGGGGAATGTGCATCAGACCCTATGTGCTTCCATTCCTCCAATGTTGTAGGTTTGTGCTTCACCATATGATGTTGAGGCCAAGTCTTTTATGACCTGAAGCAGGGTTGTTAGATGGTTGAATATCATGCCATTAACAGATGTTTTCCTCTATCTTTAAGAAGGAAAGAAAGATGGCGCCCTTGGACTTGGTATATAAGGATATTTTTTATACATAGTTTATGTATTAAAAAAAGTAAATGATAAGAAGTTTATCAGGTATATGAATCATGCTTTACTTTTGTACTAATGAACATCAGTTGGTTAAGTTAAATTATGATACCATATATGGTTTTGCATAATTAGTTGCCTGGTGGACTTCACTTTTATTTCTAGAGTACTAGTACTACAAGATTGTCTTAGAATGAAGCTCTTGATGTTTTCAAATTGAGGGATTCCCTTTTCATGACTAGAAGCTGGTATTGTCAGTGAGTGGCATCTTATTAGCCCTTACATCTGAAAAGTATATATTTCTGGGGGGTCATTATACACATACCTGAGGCAGCAGAGCTGGGAACTGGGGAGGTTGTGCTCTCTATGTAGATGCTTATAAACATGTTTGTGCTATTACTCTTGGTGCACTCTATATCAACAATCTGCAGAAGGTTCTTGGATTTATCAATCCCCCATTGCTGCTCTGTAATTAGTTGGTAAGGGAAATTGGTTTTGTTTTGCTTCCATACCCTTGACATGTTAAAATTTGTTGTGTTTGATAATCCTCTGTGTACTAGTTCTCAGATTTTTTAATGTGATGAATCAAATATAGGAGGAGCCCATCTAATGTTGATTATCCAAGTGGTGGGTGATCTAGTGAATTCATTGAATACACTTCTGCATGCTCTAAACCTGGTACCTTTGCATTTTGTGTAGGCTTAGAAGTTCCCTTTGGCTTCAGTTCAAACCGAAACAGATTGCTGCTGGTGCTGCATACCTTGCTGCTAAGTTTTTGAACATGAATATGGCTTCTAATCACACCATCTGGCACGAGTTCCAAACCCCGCCTCCTGTACTTCGAGGTAATCAACACCTCTATAACAACGTAATTATATACCCCATCTAAATGTCAAAACTAATTCAAAAAAAGTGGCTTTTAAAGAGTATTACTATTACTACTAACTCTCTACATTTAAAGTACTGCAGTTTTGTCCCATCTGATTATGAGGCCTCACGCGAGTGACCCACCTCTATTCAGTATTACTTTTTATTTGCAAATTACTTCCTCTGTCCCACCCAAAGTGAAGTTGTCAGTCTGGCTTCCGCTTATTTAATGTCATATTTGACCATTATTATTTTGCATATACTTCATACTGCCTCCATATTAAATTGTTGAGAAAAGGTGCAAATAAGGCCACGTACTAACCAAAAAAAGTCAAACAAGGCCTTATTTAAGAGGCTCTGTCCGGCCATCGCCATTTGGGGTGGTTCCCGGTCGATTTTTTTGATGAAATTTTTTGAGCTACCAATTTCAGTAAGTCTAGTTTACTCATACCAAATTTCAGCTAACAATTCAATCGGGAAAGCATTCAAATGAATGCTTGAAGATAACTGCGCTTTTAAGTGCGCAGTTATCTTCAAGAATTCATTTGAATGCCTTTCCGATTGAAGTTTTAGCTGAAATTTGGTATGAGTAAACTAGACTTAATGAATAAGATGGTCAAAAAATTTCATCAAAAAATTGCATCGAGAACCACCCCAAATGGAGAAGGCCGGGCAGAACCTCATAAATAAGGCCTTATTTGACCTTTTTTGGTTAGTACGTGGCCTTATTTGCCCCTTTTCCCTAAATTGTTTGCTGCAACAGGGTTTGTCGCAATAATTAAAAAAAAGTAGTAGGGGTAATGAATCGGGGCACCCATTTGTTAATGACCATTATTAAAATGTTTTTGTCTTTGTTTTTATGGGGCATCCCATTAGTCAATACTACATACGAGTATTTTTTTAGTATTTTTCCTATCTACCTTTATACTAAATTATTTGATTATGTCATCTACCTTAATACTAAATTATTTGATTATAATGCCATCTACCTTAATACTAAATTATTTGATTATGTCTGCTGAATCGGCTAGTAAAAAATTTAAAATAAAGCATAAGCCTGGTTATTTGTTCTGCAGATGTTGCACAACAATTGATGGAGCTCTTCTAGAGTGCTGAAAGGAGTCACATAACTAGACTATACTTCTGCTGCACACTTGGTTCTTCTTCTGCTACAACAGTAATTCTTCTTGGCTTCTAAAGTACGGAGTATAAACTACTACTACAGCAGCAGTGAGCTCAGCCTTGCTGGTTGTGTTAACTTGTTTTGTATAGTCCCATGTGTAATGCCAGTGCCACTTTGATGTGTTGTAGGAGTAATTCTATGGAGGCATAAAAATTACGTTATCATTGAATGATAATGCAATTCAATGATAGCGTCTACCTCTTAAATGTTGCCATACAGGAATGTTTCCTTGCGATTTGCAGTTTTAATGCCTTTGTAGAATTACTCGTTGTAAATGAACTACCACAGCGGAGTTGTTGGAATTGGATTTAGCCTTATTTTTTAAATTTATTTTTTTGTGTTCGACTTGAATTTGGATGTGCCATTTAAATACTGATGTGCCATTACTTCTATTATTAATTAGAATAATTAATACCACTAATACGCATTTAGTAATAACACTCTAATTTAGTGGTTAAACCTAAGGAGATAACCGAAGCCTTCTATTCTCTCTTCTCTGTAGAGAGGAACACTAACGGCCATCTCCCCTCTTGGTAGGGATTGAGATTTTCCGCCGCCCCTATCAATATGGGTTTGGAGCGGCAGATTATACTGTGTTTAAGTGTTTTAACGCTTGCGATTACAACTACGTCGGAGGAGATAGCGTTGACATATGAATGATGCGCGGCTATGAGGTTGTATCGAGATTGGATCGTGAAGCCTTGGTCGACCATTACGACTAGTCGACTAGGGCTGGACTCGGGCCGGGCGGCCCGACCCGGGACCGAACCGGCCCGGTCACTGTTTGGCCCGGCCCGTGGCCCGGTGGGTCCACCGGTTCGGTTTGGCCCGGCCCGGATGCTGGGCGGTCCGGGCTCGGGCCCAGGTTTTGGTGAACCGGCCCGGATTTTAATTTTTTTTTTTTGAATTTTTTTAGATTTTAGGTTGGATTACGTATTTTGGGCCATTTGAGGTGGTTTGGGATGGTTTGGGGTTGAGGGGGAGGGGATTAAATAGGAGAACAAAAAAAAAAATTAATTGGGCCGGTTCGGCCCGACCCGGTTTGGCCCGGAACCGGAACCGGAACCGGCTACCGGCGGTTCGGGCTCGGGCCTCCCCTTTCCAAGCCCGAGGCCCGGCCGGGCCCAGGCCCGAACCGGCCCGAGTCCAGCCCTAATTACGACGGTGGTGGAGTTAGTATTCATCCCAGTTATAATGGCCCGAACCGGAACTGGCCCGGTACTGTTGGGTCCGGCCCGACCCGGTGGCCCGGCTAGGGACCGGTCCGGGTATGCCCGGCCCGGGGGGTTTTCCGCGGGCTCGGGTCATGTAAATAAGGAACCGGATGGGCTGGGCCCGGTTTGGGCCATAATTTTTTTTTCAATTATTTTGAAAACCCGGGTTGGGCTGGGTATTCTGGGCCATTTGGGGTGGTTTGGGGGGGTGGGGGGTTAATTAGGAAAAGGAAAAAAAATATAAATTGGCCCGAGGCCCGGCCCGACCCGGAACCGGCGGCAACCCGGTCCGGTCCTGGGCCTTCCCCCAAACACAGAAGGCCTGACCGGGCCTTCCCCCAAACACAAAAGGCCCGACCGGGCCTAGGCCGACAATTATCTAAATTATCAAAATAAGTAAGGAAATAAGTAAGGTTGAAGTTATTATAAAGGATTATTTTGTTCTTTCCAAATATTTTATTTTATTAACAAAATATATATAATATAATTTTTTTCATAATTTAGCAAATTAGTCAATTCCACCGTTTCAGTTAAAAGTTCATCGATTTTAGCAAATTTATTTGATTAAATAAATTTCACTGCTATCAAACCGACTCTTAATATAAAAAGTTACTAGTTTAAGGGTATCTGATGCACGACTTCCCGCCGCACAAGCTACCACTTGGTGAGAGGTTAGAGAAAATGGGCCCAAATTACCAAATTGGTAAAAACAGTGATTTATCAAATTGGTAATAAATAAAAATCACTTGAGACATGTTGGTAAAAAAAGAAGCCCACATGACAAATTGGTTAATTTTTTGTGAGTGAGACATTTTTTATTATTGACTTAGAATTTCCGACATTTGATGTCCTAAATATTATGAAATTGAATATTGCAGTCCTACTTTGATTTTGTCATGATAAGTGGATGACTGAAAATGTCGACAAATATGTTTGATAATTGCAGTTGTCTGTTAGCTAATAGCCGATTGAATCAACATATTGATATACTAGCGAATTAACTAACCACTTTCATCAGCAGTTTGATATAAAATGTTAGTAACTTAACTGTTGAATAATTGTTAAGACATAAAATGACCATTAATGATATGAATTTAAAAGTATATATACTTTTATATGTCAACATATTTTTTAATTTTATTTTTAGTAAGTCTTGGTATTTCTTTAAATGGAATATATTTTAAAAAAGCTAATAAAATATAGTCATATTTAAAATAATAATACTAAAAAAGTATGAATTTATATGTGTCTGCTCGAGTAAATATACATATGTTAAAAATGATAGTGATAGTATTATTCAAAATAAACGTAAATATAAATTTAAAACTTTATTTTTCCAAGATTTAATAAAAAGAAAAGAATTAAAATTAAGTTAAATATAAAAAATTTTAAAATTCACATCCCTAATGATCATTTTACCTCTTAAAAGCTATTTGCAAACAACTAAGTTTACTAACATTTTATTTCAAACCACTAATGAAAGCAGTTAGTTAAAAAACTAACAGAATCCGCTAGAATCAATATGCTGATTCAACCAACTATTGACTAGCAGACAACTGCTATTATCAAACATGACAATTCACATTTTTAGTCATCTACTTTTCATAATACTTTGGACATGAAGTATCGGGAATTCTAAGTAGGGAACAAAAATGTCTCAGTGTCTCACTCACAAAACATGACTTATTTGTCACTTGGGCTTCTTTTTCACCAATATATTTCAAGTGATTTTTATAACCAATTTGAAAAACCACACTATTTGTTTTTATCAATTTGATAAATTGGCCGGGAAAATGGTCACATAATTACTGTTATGTTGAACTTATTTATGTTTTAGAATATATATCAGGTTAAATTAAACAATTCTAAGCTATATATTAGAGAAGCTCGAATTAGATTGGATTATAATTAACTCATACGGCCATGCCAGATTATATTGGATACGTTTTTAGACATAATCTCATCAAACATAAAATTATAGTTCAATAGACACGCTCTAATATAAGGTAGGGAGATTTCAACAAGTAGGACTTAAACCTATTAATTTTTCAAAATTAAGACTATATATTACCGTAAGACTTAAGTACACCTGCTTTGACCAAATTACCCTTGCTTTTAAGTTCCGAAGGGGAGAGGCGAACTGCGAATCAACGAAGTGCGAAGGCCGAAGGGGCAAAAGGCATAGCAGCGGTGCATCCTACGACGGTGCGTGAACTCCGCTCCAGCCTCGTCTTGAGTTCCTGTCTTCTTCAGTTGAATTTCTTCACTTCTGCAAATTTCCAATTTCTAATCATCGCTGACCAGATCTTCATTCCGTAGCAGATCTTGACGCCCAAGAGAAACCTTAAATGGGCACCACGAAGTTGGCAGGCAACTCCTTCTGCTCGCGAGCGGTGCTGGGAAGTCTTTCGCAGTAGCGAGCGTATGCCGAGATTGCAGCGCACAAACTGCTCTTCTCAGGGCGGCGATCAAAATTCGTCCATTCTCAGTCGACTCGCGAAACAGGAGACCCCCTCTATGGAAGGAGACCAGAACAGGTTTGGTTATTCTCGTTTGTCTGCCTATAATCATTCACACTGTGATTCCCAGAGAAGTATTAACATTGAGAGCAAGCAATTTTCGTTCAATGTAAGTGACACTTCACTCTGCATTACCGAAAGCAAACAGGGTCTGGTTTCTGCTATCAATTTTGATTTAGAGGGTGCCATTTGGTTAAACAAATCTCTGTCAAAGCTTTGGCCTGGGAAACCCCTTTCCAGATTTGTCAAACTTGCAAACACTAGACAATGCATAGACAGTAAGTAGTTAATAAACATACAATAAGTTCTAATAATAGCTCAATAGCAGACAATACGTAAACAGTAAGTAGTCATTAAACAGACAATAAGTTCTGATAATAGCTCAATAACAGAGCAGGTTCTGTAAAACAATATATATACACAATTTATTATATCTAATGATGAAATCACATCGACAGGTTGTCGAAAACTCCACAATGAAGCAGCATGGGTAATCTAGCATCCTTTATAAAAAGCGGAAGTTAGAAGCAGAAGTTATTTTAACTTCATAAAAAGATGAAGGGCAAATTTGGATGGTTACAAATAAGTTTCCTGTTGTAGAACTAAATATGTTATACGGATGGAAAAAACATCAGGGAGTTCTATTTTTGTAAAAGATCTATGATTTGGTCCTACTGGGAGCAAATTTCTCTATAAGGTATGTAGTACCGTCCTGTTGTTGGTACTTAATTGGCCCCGACACCCAAAAGAAAATAGATACATGTATATTAAATTATTATAGCCCCGAGCAAATAAATAAATTTCATATTGGCCCATCTGAATTCTAATTACAAATTTTATAAAGGTGAAGAATAAAAAAGAGAAAACCAAGTAATTATGGGATTCCGATACAAATGAAGTTATCCGTAACAAATCAAGACTGATCAGGAAGGATAAATGTTTGCCTATAAAGAATCTAAACACTCAAATTAAGTTATACTCCAGAAGAAGCATCAACGTTATGCGTTCACATATTATGAGAATCAGACCCCTATCACGTTTGGATTTTTAATTTGCAGTTGAGATTGAGCTATTTGGATTCCTTGATTTGTTATATACTTGGGGTTGAGATACTTGGGGTTGAGCTAATTATAGGTGTATTTCCTGCTCTTTATTTTCCTTTTCGTTTCTTTACTTTTAGTTGTTTTCATTTTAAAAAAAGTGAAATTGCAAAAACTCTTAACTCAAAGGGTGTGATTGAATGTTTTATTTGTTTGAAAGAACGAGCACAATGTTAAGTTATTAACACTCTTTTAGAGTAATCTAGCTACTTTCATCCTCTCGACCTTTTCTTTGATCTAATTGGTACTCAGTACTAAAAATTTTAAAAACTTTTATTTCTAAAAGTTTTTCTTTTAAAAACTTATATGTCTAAAAAATAACTCTGAATTTATAACACGGTTTTAGTTTAATTACGACCCCATTAGATCAACTTTCTCAATCTGCCCTTAAAGATATGACATGCATTAGTTATTTAGTTGTATCTTATCTGATCTTGCACATATTTTTTCAAGATAAAGAGTTAGTAGTTAAAATCATTTGTACTCGTTTTTTAATAGAAATAATCTATAGTCAAATTAATAAATCAAAAAACAATATACTCAAGATCATTTCAACCCCATGCAAAAACCCAATTATCAGACTTTCTTTGACTCTGTCATCCACAAATAAACTTTCATGTTTTTATCGTGATTTGAAACACTTACAACTCTACCCAAATCAAAATGAAAAATAAAATGTAATTCAGAGTAATGAAATAGGTAAGAAAATAATAAAGCAACAAATCATGAGTTTTCTGTTATGTCGCGTCATAGCGGTATTGCATTAGACCCACAAATATGTCTCGACTGTATGAAAACCAATGACATATATTCCAATCTTGTAGTTAATGGTGTCATCATATAGTCTCATAGATGAGTTGATCATAGACAAGTTAAAGAAGCATAAAATAAAGGGGAGTTCTCTAGTGCACCCCTTAATTTGATTGTACCATAGGGGAGCCAATAATATTGTACCACATGGAAAATAATTAAAATATATATGGATTTAATGTCCATGTGACATTGTTTTATTTGCCTACATAAGAAAGTGTTGTTGGAAATACTTTTAGATTTAGCGGAAGCAATACAAGAACAAATCAAATGGATTGTTCAATAATTCCAGGACCTTCATCATATTGAATAATAGAGTATAATAAGATTACTACCTGGATCCATAGCGAAGTGGCAAGAGGAATGGAACGAGGTAGATGGCGTCTGGATCTTCCTCAATTGAACCCGAGACCTTAGTCTCTCTTCCGATGGGGAGAAGAGAAGTGAATTGGTGGTGGTTCAATGTATTGGGGACCATAGCCTATTTATAGAGTGTGTTGGTCTAGCTAGGGCTCCCATTAAACCCTAACAAGCAACACGGGCCTCTGCCCATTTATTTGGCCCATACAATTTATCTTAATAGTCTATTGGGCTTAATTAGATAATATTGACCACATAAATAAAACCCAATTGATAAATAGCTAATACAATAATTATAATATTAGCCCATATTAATTATTGAAATAAAATATTCCAACAATCTCCCACTTGGGCTACATATTGTAATTATATTTCTTTAGGCGCGCCTTAGTATGCTATTTATCTTTAGACTTGAACTTAGTCAATCTGGTCCACCTCATGTATTAATAATGGGATTACTGCGGCTTTTGTCATATTGTTAATTCATGACTAAACCACAACAACCACCATAAAAAATACAATTGATGACATAGATCTGTATGGGTGAGCAGCATGAAAATTACATGTGAAATGGTCTCCATCATGCCTATTTTCAACTGGTCCACCTTTAGTCTTTATTGAGACCAACCTTAAGTCTCTTAAGTGTAAATTAAATATTACACTCAACTAGATACAAAAATTTAGCTATAAAGCTAATAAACTGTATTTCTGCAGAATCCTTGAGTTTTATATCACTAAATTAAATCATAAGAGATTAACTCCCACTCAACTAAACAACTTTGGCAACCACACTCACGAAAGACTTTAGGTGATTATCCCTTAGTGGTTCTCAAACTCTTTCTTTAGCTTATGCCATAAAATGACCGAATTCTCAAGCATATAAAGATTATTGAGTAAAGACTCATAACCTAAAATATTTGAATTATAAGAGAGACTAACTTTATAATTTCCAAATGAACAAGAGTAACTATATTTGTCAAAAACATAAATTGGAAATTAAATACCGTCTAATAGACAGTGTAACAAAAGTCTCAATTAAATTCAAATAAAAAACAAGTCTTTAAAAGTAGTCTAAAAGTTCTTATTGCTTGAACTTAAACTTTATTGCCATCGCCTACATAAATATACTTTTCCAGCATCATTTGGTGGACGGCTCCATATGCAACCCCGCATAGACATACTTATGTGAGTAGTAGCACCGGAATCTACCCACCATGTGTCTTTAGGTACAAAACTAAATTAATTTCATGCGTGTGTGCATGTGCATCAAGTACCATATTATTACGCACATCAATTTTTGTGAAATTATAAGACTCAAACAAGATACCTAGCGCAACATTAAACCCCAATCTTTGGACTGGTAGGATAACTGCAATTGGTATCAGAGCCTCCTTCATGTTGAATCATTTGGAGTTTTTTTTTTTCATATTTCTTGTTTCAATCTTAAACGATTGAATTTCTGGATTTTTTGTTTATGTCATATGATCTGCCGTTTTGTTATGGATCGAGGGTAATGCGAGATTACGTTTACTCGTAATTCGTTCCTAAAGTATTCATATCGGTAGTTGATGACTTATAAGGGATCGAATATTTTGATTTTTTTTTGTGTCTTAAATCGTTCTTACGATTTACAATTGGAATGTCGGTATAATCACCGACAATTCATAGTTGGATCGGTAAAGTGTATCTTTCCATTTTTTTTTACTGCCGAATTTTTTGAATGCCGCATAATTGATTCAGTTTTTCGGAAGATCCAGACGCCATCTACCTCGTTCCATTCCTCTTGCCACTTCGCTATGGATCCAGATAGTAATCTTATTATACTCTATTATTCAATATGATGAAGGTCCTGGAATTATTGAACAATCCATTTGATGTGTTCTTGTATTGCTTCCGCTAAATCTAAAAGTATTTCCAACAAGTGTACCATACATGCAAAATTTAGAAGTGCACCATAGCTAGAATTTCCCTAAAATAAAAGGATTTGAGAAAAACATATTCAAACCTTGATGAATGTCATCAATAACAATTGAACCTAACAATAACATGACACCCCAGAAGCGCTTGCAACATTAATTTTAGGAGTCATCCATAAAATAACTGTCAAGATCAATAAAACACCATACCACCTTTTCACTTACATATAAACTCCTATTGTGATGCAATTGTAGGTAAAATTTGAGAAAATTATCTAAATAGCAGTTAAGCATAATAAAATTTATTGAACTTATTATCCTTTATTCTTAAAATAAAATTACATAAATCCTATATTTAGGAAAGAAAACACTCGTAATTATATTTTTTTCTATGTTTAACTCTTATTTTGAGTAATTTTCAATAAAATTTTAGAAATATATATGACTGATCATTTGGGCTATATTTTATTTGTTTGGTTTAAACATATAACTGATCTTATCTAATTTGGTGTGGTCTATATAAGAATATATTTAATAGTGGACACAAAAATTCTTCATACGAGCGGTGATATATTTTCATTATGACCTAAGTCGTACTACGTACCTTCGTCCGACTAACATAGAGACATAAAAGAGATGATATAATTATTATGAAAAGTGAGTTTATGTGATTAATATTGAATTGATAAAGTAAAAATAAATTAATAATAATTTAAAACCACATAAATTTTATTAAATTTGGTGTGAAGTAATTTTAGTGAGACAGATTGAAAAAGAAATACTACGTAATAGACAAGTTTAACAGGACCGATGAAGTAGTATACACTATCGGGCAACTTTTATTACCAATTAATCATAGTGAGAAGACAAATGGTGCTCGAATAAAAAACTTCTTAATTAATTGGTAGATTAATCATAGTGAGAAGACAAATGGTGCTCGAATAAAAAACTTCTTAATTAATTGGTAGATTCTTTTTACCAATTAATTATATTGAGAAAACTAATTAATATTTCTCTAATTGAGAAAACTTCAATTAAAAACAAATATAGTCGAGTAAAACTCCAATAACCTTCTTGTAGTCGAATAAGTGCTCTCTCACGCTTTTGGATCAATAGGACTCGTACTAGTAATTAATTGCCCGTATTAATTTCTCTCTCCATCCCTTTCAAAAGTTCTAACTTCCTTTTTGGATGTCCCAATCTTTTTTGGATCACTTTTTGGATGTCCCAATTAAAAATTCTCATTTTTTATTTCAGAAAAAGAAACACTCTTAAATGGAAATATATTGAATTATCAAATATTAAAAATAATACACCTATAACATCACAATTAACATTTAAAAACCGTATAATATTATATATCCATAAAAATATTTCTCAAAATATACTCGAAGTATCATACTACGTATTTAATAATTTTCTAAATAATCGTAACATTTTGCAATGAGAACCTTTAAACGGGACGACTACAATACTAATTTACGCAATATTATAAACCGAGTATTAATTTTTTTTCAATATTTCTACTAATTGTCGATCAAGTAGTTTCAAATTTAGTTATTATTATTATTATTATTATTATTACTAATATTAATAATATTACTATTATGGTCACTACTACTACTATTATATTATTATCTATGGTCATTGTTGATAGTGTAAAGGAGAATAGATACATCATACATGAATGGATTTAGTTTTTAACTTTTTATTATTTTTACTAAAAAAGGAAAAATACGTAGTATTTGTCTAATTTTTAGCATGTAATATATACAAAGATAGAGTGATGACATACCGAAACCGTTTAATTGCCGATAATTACTGACCTTCTCCCATTTGGATAAAAATCATTATGATACCAATCCTTATCTTATTTGTCGTAAAACAAAACCGATTAACGAGTCAATATTGGATCCAACTTCTAACGCGCATCGACACAGTTTAGCTAACAACTCGGAATCAAAAGCCAAACATATATAAATACTCCGCAAATTCACCCTTACCCAAAAGAAAGAAACACTTTATTTTTGTTTTCCTAGATCCAACCAACCGTGATAATCGAAGAGAAACAATGGCGTCGGCTCCTATAGGCAATACCCTCTTCGATTCCAGAATCACACCTTATGTACTTGCTTGCTGGATCCTTGCTGCATTCGGTGGATTGATGTTTGGTTATGATATCGGAATTTCGGGTAATCCTCAATTTTCGTTCTTCTCGATCTTAAGCGTTTTCGACTTTTATTTTTACTTTCATCAGATGTATTTTGCGGTATTGGGGTAATGATGATGAGAAAATTTGTGATAGCTAGTGTATTAGTGTATTTGGGTAAACTAATAGTCACCAAATTGGATGAGGAACTTCACTCTAATATCAAATCTCATATGAAATTCCCAAACATTATGTGTTAGTTTGTATCGAATACTATCGTATATGTCTGTGATTTCTTAGCAAACATACTACGTATGAGATATTGATATCTCTATAGTATTGGATCCAAACTTAGTGCGTATATACATACATGTATTGACACAAACTTAATGGTAATCATGATGTATATACATACTACGTATAGTAGTTTTTGTTTATTCTACTATGTATAATTTTTAGTAACAAATTTTATGGTATTCAAATTTAGGGTTTGCAGTTTGGTAGAACTTTTAATGTAATTTTCAAATCTTGTAAATTTTAATCATAAATACTGATTTGAATATGAGCCGGGACGATTTAAATTCACCCTGAGTCAATCTTAAAACCCGCAAAGTGCAAATCAACATAGAAGGCAGTTAAACAATTTGGTTATTATTGAGTCAAATTAGAGTAAAAAGATTAAATAAACCTACTAACTTAATTAACCTAATTGTTCTAGCTAAAATAAAGCTTATTTACACAAATATGACTGATAGTTACTACAATGTACGATCATGGAAATTTAAATTTAAAAATTGAATATAAGTTACTATGATTTCATTACTACTTCATCTAGTAACATTTTGTAAGCAATCTTATTTCAATTATAAATTTGTAATTATTTTATGTTATAAACGTAATTAATTGTATCTAATGTTTTGGTGTATAGGAGGAGTGTCGGGAATGGATGATTTTCTGATAAAGTTTTTCCCGGGGGTGTACGCGAGAAAGCAGCTTGCAAAAGAGAACAATTACTGCAAATACAACGACCAGATGCTTCAGCTGTTTACGTCGTCGTTGTACATGGCGGCGCTTGTGGCGAGCTTCTGCGCATCAAAGGCTTGTTCCCTCTTAGGGCGTCGCCCCACCATCTGCATGGCCTCCGTCCTCTTCATCATCGGCGCCGCACTCAGCGCTTTTGCACAGCACAAATGGATTCTCATCCTCGGTCGGATCTTCTTTGGTGTTGGTGTTGGATTCGGAAACGAGGTTTGTACTCTCTCACACGCTCTCTCAAATACTACTCCGTACATGCTACCTATTACTCTGCATCAACAACAACAACAATAACAACAAGTATCTATTTACTTGGATTAGAAATTTCTGTGTTGATTTGAATTGGTATAGTATGATCTATAATATTTTTAGTCTAGGTAATCTAGTTTGGTCTATTTAAGTTTAACCTGATTTGGTCTAGTATGATCTACATTATGTTTAGTCTAGTCTAGTTAATCTAGTCTGGTATATTTAAGTCTGACCTGATTTGGTCTAGTATGATCTACATTATGTTTAGTCTAGTCTAGTTAATCTAGTCTGGTATATTTAAGTCTGACCTGATCTAGTTTTGAATCTAGTCTGGTCTATTTAAGTCTGACCTGATCTGGTTTTGATGGAAGAAAATCCAAACAAAAACATTCTAACAAGTAACAACCACAACAACAAATAAAATATGGTCGATTGGCAAGCATGGTTTCGATTTTGTTTATTTTGATGTGAAATTCCAAGGAAAACATTACCGTATTACAAAATTACTCAAACGGGAGTATCATTATTTCCTTTCCAAAATAAGATTATATACGTTCTATTTTGGTAATGAACTATTTTTAACTTAGTTCGTGTTATATCCATATTTAGAGCAATTTTAAGTCTTTTCTATTGGTCATATATTGCTCATTATTGTTTTTCTAAAAGACTAAAACAATAGTTTTGAACTTTTTATATTAGTGACTACTGTATACTTCGTACAATGGTGCTAGAATTCAAGTTTTATTAACCATGCGAGTAATTTTTCCCATAAGACGATATTATTTAGGCAATTTTTTTGGGAAAAACTCTTCTACCATCCAAAATCTGAAAAAAAAGGAGAGCTTCGTAATGGGTACATTGTTAATACAAAAATGATTTCTTTTTTAATTTTTTTCTTATAGAAATTGTTATCAAAATTTAGACCAAGTCCACAAATAAGATTGCATGTGTTTTATTTTCAAAACATGATTACTTATTTGATTCTAAAAGAATAAAACTTCACAAAGCATGCTCGCTTCTATATGTACATTTTGTATATGTCATGGTCTTACTGTTTGTTTTTCCAAGAGAAAATTGCCTAAAGAGGACTAAAACAATACAGACTACAGAGTAATAAAGTTCTTATAGAGGAGTATAAATGTTTTATTCCCAAAACAGAACTCATTTACTCATATTTTGGGAAGTTTTAATCAAATTACTCTTTTAAAATGATTAAATAAGTCCTATTTGGGAATATAACATATTTAGTCCAATTTGTGCATTTAAGTTTAGTTTTAGTCCTACATCGGGCAATTGCTATTTTATTTTCTAATGCAACAATATGTATAATAAAAATGATATCTGGCCGTGATTGCAGACTGTGCCCTTGTTCTTGACGGAGGTAGCCCCAGTCCAACACAGAGGGGCGGTGAACATCCTATTCCAGCTCTTCGTCACGGTGGGGATCTTGATCGCCAACCTCGTGAACTACGCCACCGCGACGATCCACCCGAACGGGTGGAGGATCTCGCTCGGGGCAGCCGCGTTCCCGGCGGTGGTGCTGTTCATCGGGTCCCTCGTGATCAGCGAGACCCCGGCGAGCCTGATCGAGCGGGAGAGGCTGGAGGACGCGAAAGCGGCGCTGAAGAGGATAAGGGGAGTCGAGAACGTGGAGGCGGAGTTCGAGACGATCGTGGCGGGGTGCGAGCAGGCCCGGCAGGTGAAGAGGCCGTTCAGGAAGCTGATGAAGAGGGGGAGCATGCCGCCGCTGATCATCGCCGTGATGATGCAGGTTTTCCAGCAGATGACGGGGATAAACGCCATCATGTTCTACGCGCCGGTGCTGTTCCAGACAATGGGCTTCAAGACCAACGGCTCCCTCCTCTCCTCCGTCATCACCGGCTTGGTCAACGTCTTCAGCACCTTCGTCTCCATTTACTTCGTCGATCGGATCGGCCGGAGAAAGCTCCTCCTCGAGGCTTGCTGCCAGATGCTCATTTCTCAGGTAACAGCCGTTGAATTTTCAACTATATTCCGTTGTTTTATTCCCTTGTTTAGTTCAAAGTTAAAACAACTAGTGCGTTGACCATTAAGGAGTGTTAGGATGTAATTTTCAAAACTGATTCTGCTCCTTCATAGAGCTGAAACAGAAGTTAGAGTGTTTGGGTGAAATTCCAGAAACACTTCTCGTGCTCTAATTTACTCACAGAATCAGTTTTTTGAGAAGCTGGGGGGTACCAGCTTCTGAAAACTGATTCTGATTCTGCTTCTGCTTTAAAAAAGAAGCAGAAGCAGAATCAGTTCCAAACACCCCCTAATATTATTACAAGGAGAGTGGTGGACAAAGATATTACTTTGTACTTAGTAGTGATTGTAGTTGTGTTTAAAGTTTACATCGTTGCAACTACAATGTAGTAAATTTTGAACACAATTATAATTACTAATAGTTACTAAGTCATATTTTTATCTGAATTTTTATTAGTACTACCTCTAGCTGTCCCATATTGGTTGTCATGTTTTAATTTGACACAATTATTAATAAAGTGATTGAAAAGTAAAAGTTGTGGTTGAGATTTGAGTATTTTATTAGTACTACCTCTAACTGTCCCATATTGGTTGTCATGTTTTAATTTGACACAAATATTAATAAAGTGATTGAAAAGTAAAAATTGTGGTTGAGATTTGAGTATAAAAGTGGAATGATAAAGAAGTAAGGAACACATAAAAAGAAAGTAAGACAACCAAAGTGGGACAAGAGTAATATTTAGGGAAAAACATCTAACCTTAATCTATTCAAATAGTTTATGAAAGAAATAATGATGAATATGTAACTAATAAAGTTCGTCAATAAAAATGTGTCGAGTAACCTTTTATACTTTAGTTATAAGTACTATCGTATAACAATAACTTTAGTATTCATTTTTATATTCGGATTTACGATGAAGTAGCCATGATAATGTACTTGTACTTGTCATATTTTTGACAAATAACAAAATCTAAGAAGAAAAGAGTATGCTAAAAGTTTAAAAGTTAGGTAGTACTACGTATAGTATTGCAACTACTAGTATTAAGAAATGAAGAAGTGTATGTATAGTAGTGTTATGACAATCAGTTTAAAAACATCCAAAATTGATTTATTTAGTTTCTTTGACATATTTAATTTTCTCTATTAAATATTTCCTAGTATCCTTTTATTTAATATCCACCTTTTTACGTAGTACGAAGTATCTGACTTAATTATAATATCTCGAAAATATTACGGCTTCCCAGTAGGGAATTGTCAGCTCTTTAATTATGGTCACTATCAATAACAATGATCACTGAGCATATCAAATACACAGCCACTCCGTGCACCACTAAAATGATCACTAAACATAAAAATAGCCATACGCGTTAAAAAAAGTTACATTTTTATTTATAAGTTTTAGGTACTTTAATTTAGTAAGAGTAATATATTTGACCTCATTATTTAGGTTTTAAGCTAGATGAAATGCATACTCCTCTCTTATTGACTTGTTTCCTTCATTTATCTAAGGTGGCGATCGGAGCGATTCTCGCAACACACTTGTCAGAGACCGGAACCCTAAATAAGGGATTAGCGATAGTGGTGGTGATTCTGGTGTGCACATATGTGATGTCATTTGCATGGTCATGGGGACCTCTAGGGTGGCTAATCCCGAGCGAGACGTTCCCGTTGGAGACGAGAACGGCGGGGTTCGCCTTTGCGGTGAGCGCCAACATGATGTTCACCTTCATCATTGCACAAGCCTTCTTGACAATGTTGTGTGCCATGCAAGCCTACATATTCTTCTTCTTCTCAGCGTGGATATTGGTGATGGGTGTGTTTGTATGGTATTTGTTGCCGGAGACCAAAGGTGTGCCCATTGATTTGATGGTGGATAGGGTGTGGAAACAGCATTGGGTATGGAGGAAGTTTTATAGGAACGATGTTAGGAATTATGAAATGGCTGCCTAATTATTTTTAATTCATTAGTTAGAAGCCAGTTTTTTATTATTTTGATACTAGTTTATAGTTTTACACTACGTACTTATAATAATAAGAAGATTATTTGGAGGCAGAATGAGCCAACCTACACCATATTTTCGTCAAGTCAATACAATTTTTCGAACCTTCCTTGACTAAATCTTTGAGTGCCCTCATTTAATTGCATGTCATTTTGTTCAATTAATTTGTCTCTCATTTGTCGAATGATTTGAGTTATGACCTTTAAGTTTCTATGCTATCTTTAAATTATTGGACTAAATAGAAATAAAAACTGAAATTCTAACATAAGAAGAAGCTTATATGTTGGCAAAAAAAAACATAAGAAGCTTATATATGACACTAATGACACTAACAATGTGCCCTCATGAGTAATTATTACTATCCTGTTTGGAAATCACTCTCAATAATGACACTATTAGAACCGTTTTGTTAATTTCTAGTAATTTAATGCTAAACAAACACTACATACGAGGGTGTTTGTTTATTTAATGGCCGATCAATTGGACTATTATTAGCCTTTTAACCAGATAAAACAACTAACTAACTAGTGTTTAGTGAATTAAGTGATTTTTGTGTAATAGAAAAAGTCAAAAACAATTTAAAGCACCACTCAACATGCTTCTAGCTTTTAGCTTTTAAGTGCTTAATTTAAGCAGAAATTGTTATTTGAAAACACCAATTTCAACTTTTTTAAGCCCAAAGGTGAAAAACACCTTTTTAAATTCTCTGCAAACACTCCATTAGACTAGTTTGAGCTTGAGAAAAAGCATACTTAACCCGATTTAAGAAGACCAAATTAGATTAGGCTGGATTAAAATTTGATTATAGTTAAACACGTACACACAGTACGCGTTGGGCTTCATTAGACCAAATTAAATCAAATTAGATCAGACTGAGGTATACTCCTTATTAAACTAGATTCAAACAAATTTGATTTGTTGAGACAAAAAAGTTCTAGTATAAGTGAGAAATAATTCCTTACATAGGAGCAAAACATATAGAAAGTACAACAATAGATAGGTTGTAGAACTCGTTTTCTTTTAAAGGAAATGAAATTTTATTAAAGAACATTTAAAAGGAATTACAAGAAACAAAGATAAAAGAAGAAACAAGGGGAAGGGGAAGAGGAAAAAAACAAACAAACAAGAACTACAAGTGAGGAAACCAACCCTAATGCATCAAAAAGATGAGATTGAGATCTCCTCATGATATGTGATCGATAATGTTTTTTCTTATATATATTTTGATTTGGGTATTCAAGTTCTGCGAATGCAAGCAATTGTCCTTCGTTACTTTGTCAAAGATGTCTTGATTCTATTAAGCTATGGTGAAAATGAAACTCACAGTTCACTTTGGGTTGACTTTATTAAAGCACGATATCCTAGGGTTCTTGATTTAACTCCAAAGGTGACAGATTCTCCAATTTGGAGAAGGATGTGTCTCATTAATGAATGTGCCAGTAATCTATGTCAAATTAACCTCGATAATAGTGTGAGATGGTTACCTGAAGATGATGGGAATTTCTCGCTTAAATCAGCTTATAATATGGTTAGGGAGGATCTCTCTTCCACGTTTTCATTCAAGCACGCTTGGCATCCTAGGCATCCTCGATCTGCAAATCAAACTCTTTCAGTGGAAAATTCTTAGAGGAATTTTGCCAGTTACTGATAGTTTAATTTGACAAGATTCAGATGGTTTGTCAACCCATCCATCTGCCCTCTATGTAACCATAGTGAAGATTCAGTTGATCATTTTTTTTTCTATGCAGTATTGCTTACTCCATTTGGAGTTATTTCATAATCATTTTTGGAATCCCAATCGATCCACATCTATCAAGGGAATTCTGATGGTTCAGTGGCTTAGGGCTAGGAGAAAAAACCTAGTTCATATTTTTAAGCATAACCTGTCGGGCATTATCTGTTGGCATTTGTGGAAGGTATATTCTAGCATTATTTGGGGTTCGGACAACAGGGTGCCCTCTCATGAGTTTATAATCTTCCAAATTAAATTATATACTCAAATTTGGGCCATCAGTTTGTCCAATTTAAAGATTCGAGTTTTTGGTGATGTGCTATACGAAGAAAAGTTGATTCACAGCAACTTCAAGTTTAAGGGTGGACTATTCAAAGCAATCAAATGGAAGAGATCAAAGGAAGGATTCAAGCTCAATACGGATGCTAAGTTCTTTCCTGGGATTGCTGCAGGTGGCGCGATTCTCAGAAACTCGGACGACGAGATGAGCTTTGCAATTTCATTCCCTCCTTTTGTCTCGTCGCCTCTCGAAGCTGAGCTTGCTTCGTCCCTCTATGCGACAAACTGGACTATAGCACCTGGCTTCTCGGATTTCCTTGTTGAAATGGATGTTGCGGTAGCCTTGAGACACATCTGTGATGGCGGTGCGGGTAGATGGAAGGAGTATCAAGAAATGTTACTCAGAGCTTTCAACATGGACTGAGAGAATGTAATTAAGTCTCTCATTTGACCGTAATTATATTTAATTATGTATTAGTAAAACATAATTAAAAATCATATTATGAAACTTAATAATGAGATGAATTCAACCATATTTTTTCAAAAATAAAAATTCACATTAATCAATAAATAAAATGTAGTCAAAGTAGATGATATGAATAATGTATAAATTGCAATATTGCAATTAACTAATGCGATACAGAGGATAGTAATTTCCATCATTTGCAATGGACCCAAATAAAGACTCACTATTTTTTACTTGAAAATATGATGGAATAAAGCAAAGTGGTTCACTAAACTGTCTATACTTCTTTTGTTATGAAGCTGCAATCAATCCATGCAATTTTGGACTCGATTTTCACTATGAGTCATCCGGAAACAATCTCTTTGTGCTTAGTACAGGGATAAGGCTGCGTACATTGGACCACCTCTTACCCCACCGTAGGTGAGAGCTTTTGCAGCACTGGGTAATAATGATGAATGCATGAGTTCTTTTAAATAATACTACGTGTGATGAAAAAGATTCACTTCGTAGAGTTGTATCTTAAGAACATAAAATAGTGACAAATATAATAAACTTCAACCGTGATAGCTTTGTCAAATATAAACTTCAACAATGATAGAATTGCTACTCGATCTTGAGAGACTAGTGACATAAAATGAGCTCTGTAAACCTGGTCAACCTTTAAAACAACGCATGAAAAGGTTTCAACTGGATCGTCTTTAATTTAGGCAGCAGTTTTATGACTTTCCCTAATTGTTTGATGCTCACTGCCCACACAAAGGAAAAGGAAAACGAATAACTAAATTCATAAATCCAAAAATAGGTGACAATTGGAAGAATCATATATATTCCGTATATAATAATGAGTTTATATGATTAGTCAAGTAACGAATATGACAAAAGATAGAGAGGCATTAACATGCTATGGTTCTTTACGATGTATCTAAAAAAATTAACATGCTATGGTCCTTGAAAAAAGCATTTATTGAGGCAACAAATACTATTGTTAGACCATTTGTAGTGGTGAGGTATTAGGAGTCCAAAATGTTAAATGTGGAACTTTTGGACTCCTAATTGTGTGTAGTGGTGGTTTATATGGGGTATTAAAAGTGGGAAAAGGGATGGAGGGTGTTAAATATAGAGGGTGAGTTTAGAGAAGTGGAAAAAGAAAAAAATAAAGTAAAAAGGAAAAGTGAGGCACGGCCACATGTTTTCTTTTGGTGAGGATGACGTCATGCTGGCGTCACCCTTGCATCATTATATCCCAATTTTTTTAAAACTTATATAACTTTTTTATTTGTCATTTATTTTTTTCAAAAAATATATCAAAATTCATAAATTTTTATGATCTTTCATATGACATCCATATGTGATATATAAAATGATTTTATTTTGAAATTTTAACTGTTACAGTTTATTGAGCTAAAAAAATGAAACAGGAATTCTTAATTCATGAAACCTTCACAAATAATTGAATATTCTATAATCAAACTTCACTTAAACAAATTCATTTTTTTAACAGAAAAATGTTAAAAAAAATTATGAAATTTATTTATTTTTACATCAAAATGTGTATTTTTTGTTTCATGATTATTCAGGGAAAAAAATTAAAAGTAAAACATTACTTATAATAATTTAATTAATATTTTACTAAATTCATATGTAAAAAACATGCAGAGTGTATTTAATTGACGGTGCACGGATGCAGGGAAAAACAGTATTGACGGAGTCTAAACACTGTTTTCAAATGGACGGAGTCCAAATTTAACTATTTGGACTCTTGACCACTACAAATGGTCTTAATAGGTGAAATATATGTACAGATATAACAAAGATATAGATTCTAGACAAAAGATCACGACAATGTCTGAGTTCTAGAACTTGATGCTTTCTTGTCGAGAGTCCAAATATGAAAAATTGTTCCAGTCCAATTCCGCTCCAATTCCTAAAAATTGGGACCTCTTCTAGTTCAGGCTAAGAAAGTAATCACAACCGGTAGGTTCGGAAGTCAGCCTGAAATAGACATTATTCATCCCTACACGTCATAATATATATAATTTCTAAGTACAAAAATTCTTTAGGACCATTCTTGATATCCACACGATGTACATAAAATGTGTACATTGTCTGTATACACAAGCAATTTGACATCAAGTTCTGTCCTCTTTTAAACGAATTCCTTGCGTACAAAGACAATTAAAGGGATTTTGTGTTCAATTTGCGTACAATTTTCCAATTCTTAAGGAGCAAAGATAGTAGGAATAGATATTCAGTCCATTCTTAAGGAGCAAAGATAGTAGGAATAGATGTTCAGTCCAAGAAAGTACGGAGTAATCCGAACCAGTAGGTCTGGTAGTATAATTTTCATTGCAAGAATGGAAAGGGATCGGTACGGATTTGTAGCATAAAAATGTCATTTCTGATGTTCATCACCTACATTTGAGTCATGTGACTGTATTATGTAGTTTCATGGTATTCCCTCCGTCCCAAAATATCGTCCCGGTTTGACTTTCACACATATTAAGAAAATGAATTTGACTGCACATTGTTTGACACTGTAGCGACACTGTTTGGCACTGTAGCGACACTGTTTGGTACTGTTTTACAATGTTTGACAATGTTTAGTATAGATTTGTTTACCAAATAAGGAA